TAGCTTTATGGCATCTTTTTTTGGCTTTGTTCATCATTTCAGTTCTTCGCTGGAGGATGACGGTGTCTCAGAGCCATCAGGACATTCCTGCAACAAATAAAAATAAAACTCTGGTTTTAAACATAGCTTTAGGCTTTAATGCCAATACAGTAGAACAGTGATACATCTCACCTTCACTCTCTCCAGCTCTGGTCTGCCTGGGAGTGATTTTTGTGAGGAAAAGGCCTGTGAGGAAAGACAGTAAGGTTGACTCATAGGGTGAGGGAAGAAATAGTGTGCTAGGGTGAACATCAGGCTGCTGCAGGCTCACCTTCTTTGACTGCTGTACCTCCTCTGTGGACTTAGACCTATTTTTCATGTGTTTCTGAGGAGAGGTGTTGGTGGGACACTAGGCAGAGGGAAGGGTCGCATTAGACGGCGAATGATTAAAATTTAGTGTATCAGAGTATCGGGTTCTTAAGTACCTCATTTGTCTTCTGCTCCATGGCTGACTTGAAAGTTTTTCCTCAGAAGTTCGGGGCTGTGGGGACTTAGGATGGATCACTCTGTTTTTCTTGCAAACTTTGGCTGTGCAACTAAAAGGTTAGGAGAAAAAACGAGAGAAACTTTCAAAAAGCGTGACTGCACGCAACAACAACAGACAAGGGAAAGTCATTAATATATCCAGTAAAATGCAAACAATTAATCTTGCCCTAAGCGGTCTGATCCACTGCAAGAGATCCAAGTGAAGCTAGAGCAAGAGAGTGTGCAGTTATGAGCTCTTCTCACTAGAGGGTGTCTCTGACTCAGAGATACACTACTGCAGATTTCAGTATCCTGTTGTTTGTTTTTAGCTTTGGGATTCGCTAGAAGCAAAAATTATGACTGATTACAGGTTAGCTTGGCTCAATTTTCTCTACTGGCAAAACAGGCATACTTTAAAAAAAAAAAAAAAGGAGCGGTGGGGGGGAAGAAGGGGTGGTAATTCTTCTGACCTTGTTTGATTATACATAAATCCACCAAATTTTGTTTTTTAAATTGTATTTCAGTATATAAACATTGCTTGTTGGAGCCCTAACGGTTGACATAACAGAAGCTCAACTTTAGCTGAGAGGACGAAAGCAAAACAGCAAGTCACAGCAAATAAAATCGTGAAAAGAAGGACTGCTCTGAACAAGGACACACACAGTTACTCAAACAGTGATTCCTCGAGAACTGAAAGACCACAGAGAACACTAGGCAACAGTCACAGCTGTGGCTGTGGCCAGGGCCACAGCTGGAGTCATGAGCCCTGTTGGCTGAGGGACAAAACACCACTGGATCTGGTTCAGTGAACAAGAGACTTTTTTTCCCTTTCTTTTTTTAACAGTCCATCAGCCTCCCTTTTGATGTCTGCTTCTCTCTGTCAGGCATACCGATGAGATTCTAATGGTATGAAGGGGTGGTTCAGTGCTGCTGTTCAAAAAGAAGAAATAAAATATGTCATAGGTATTTCAAACAAAAGACTTGAGCTTAAAAGCTCTTGGTTGAACATGGGAACCAACATTATTGAAAGCGGAAACTTTAAAATTGGGAAGTTATTGTAGTTTTCTGATGCTTTTGTCTACATCCTGCAGAGAATAGCAGAAACACCATCTAAGTGGATCTATCACTTTTGCCAATATTTTTTTTCTGGCTCTTTTTCCTATGATTTGCCATTTGTTCTGTCTCTCTGTCCTCTATTCTCCTTCTCCTCTCCCCCAACCAGTCACCGCAGATGGGTGTCCCACCCTGAGCCTGGTTCTGCTGAAGGTCTATTCCTGTTAATAGGGAGTTTTTCCTTCCCACTGTCACCAGGTGCTTGCTCGGAGGAGGTTGTGTAATTCTTGGGGTTTCTTTAATATTGTAGGGTCTTTACCTTATAATATAAATGAACTTGAGGTGACTGCTGTTGTGAATGAATAGTATAAAAATAACTGTAAATTGAATTAATAATGTAATTTGGCATATTGCAACCTAATAAATATGAAAAATGATGTGATAGTAACAGAAATAACTTCATATCCTTGATGTTTCTACATTAAAAAAATACCTGTTTCTAAATCCTGATTGGTGCAGAGACATATGCAACATTACCATTATGTAACTGAGGCAACTGAGTCATTTCACAAAAAGCTGTGTTTTCTTTCAGAGCCTTTAAAGCGTCAATCATTGCTAAGTTTTCAAAATGTAGCACATCTAACAGACAGCTTATCTCTTTCCAAGATGCATGGAATTACAATTTACTTATTACTTACTGATGAGGCTAGAATGCCAAAAACACACACACACACACACACACACACACACACACACACACACACACATATATATACACATATACACACATGTATACATATACACACATATATACATACACACTCTGACTGAAGTCAAACAGTCTACTATTCTGGGCTCCAGTTCTGCCTAATCTTACAGGAAGCATTTAGCCCAGGGCTCATAAAGAATGAATAGGAAATGATCAACGGGAGCACACTCACTCGCTGTGATGGCTGACATCATGGTGGCATCACTTTTGATGCTGCAGGGAACTCTGGTACAAAGTCCTACCTGAAGTGGAATATATGTGATATTCAGTGAGGCCAGAAATACTCCACTTGGTCAGTACCAGTGGAGTTTCTGCTTTCTTTTATACAAGTTCCATTACCACAGAACATGTATGTTTGTTCGGTAGGTACAGCCAGGAGGGATGATGAACTCTCTGCACTTACTTTAAAATGTGCATTATAGTCCTTTGAGGGACAGCTGAGGATAATCTGAGGCTTGATGGCAGGGCAGGCATTCAAAGAGTCCTGAGTGCTCTTTCTGACCAACTCGCTGAAGGAAATGACCTAAATGTGAATGATTTGCTTGCTTGCCTCACTCTGTCAACCCCTGCTTTCCTCTGTTACCGTCTTTTCATCTTTGTGTAGAAGAGAAATTCTTCCACTGCAGACGAAGCCAAGAAGTGGAGGATCGTATAGGTTAGACTGAGGCGGGTGGAAGTCCAGCTCCTTTGTAGCAGAGATAAAAACCCCTGTGGCTTTTAGAAACACTTCGCCAACGATTAGTCCACATGAGCAACAATCAAGGTGGCACATCGAAATCATCACGTCTCTTTTTTTGATATAGATAAAAAGAAATGTACATGCATAAAGCTTTTACATGCCCCTACAGACGGGAGCATACACATGCAAAGCAATCTTTACCATTTAAAGCTACTGAATAAGTTTTGTTCTGCAGGGATGAACAAACAGACTCAATTTGAGATGCAGCAGAAGGAAGAAGATAAGGCAGAAAAGTTTAATGACTACGTAGCCTTTACGATCCTTAATAAACGCTGCTGTTCACATCTGCGTTACGTAAGAAGCAAATCTATTCCGGAGGTTTGAATCCATAACCCTGAAAGAACCTCACACAGAGCCTATCTTTGCGTCCGGGTCAACACTAATTAACTCCCTAACTGAGAAACAGAACATGACAAGAGCTCCTTAAGCATAAGTTTCCTGTGGATGTGTGTTCTGCCTCTACACTGTCACTCCTGCCTTCTTCCTGCTCAACCTAAAGGTCTGCCAAATCACTCCCTCCTGGAAACACAATGAGAAGTCATTAGTTTCATTCGCTGATTTAGTCAAACAGTGATGACACTAGATGCCTGTATCGCTTCAGCCATGTGTTGATGGTTTCAAGTCTTTTGGGAGGAATTCAAACCAGGAGTTCAAAATCAGTGTCTGACATTTCTCAGCCACCACACAAGTGTCTGCAAACATGCTGATCGCAAATCTTCACGTGGCCAGGATTTGTGTAATAAAATGGGCTGTTTTACCACAGACAACACACAGCGAGATGGTTGGAGCACCAAGGTCAGCATGTGAGCAGTGATGGAAGAGAGCACATGAAAATGGCTCAGTGTCAAGGACATTATGCCGTGTAATTGATGATGATGTGCTGTCTGTTTTGTCACACTCAGGTGGGACATGCACACATCCCAACTACACCCAGCTGGATGTATTAAGTCAGTAGCTGACCAGCACAACTGCCCTCTGTCGGAATCACAGCTGAGCCATGTGTATCTCACCTGATACCCGAGTCATGGTTATGACTCCATAATCTTTTCATTCTTAACCCACTGAAGACTGATTGAAGACTGCCCTCCAACTGTGCACAATCTTTCAATCCACATTAATGTGCCTGCATCGATCGGCTGGACAGGTTTTGTTTTATAGCACTTACACATATTTTGCAGGACTCTCTAAGGCGGTGTGAGCTCCCATTAGAAGAACTATTTTAGAAATCCAGAACCTGCTTGTTATTCATCCAGATGTACAATGGACATGAAGCTTAGCTCAAACTGAAAGCTGTAAACAACAAAACAGAGACAAGACAGAGCGCTAGCACAGTCTGAATGAAAACGTGCTTTTCCATGAATGAGGAAATGAAGGAGGCATAGTACTTTTCATCAAGCACAGTAAAGCAGTGAGTGACAGAAGGGAGTGGACGATGAATGATGCGGGTGATGGAAAGAGGAGAAAAAAAGGCACGCACATCTACTGACTGAACGAGCCCTGCAATCATCGCAAATGAGACAAATGAAATGCCTGGGGTTAATTCATACACTCACCTCCTTCCCTCTCTTTTCTCCTCTCAGTACAGTAGGCGTGCAGTGGAGTAAATGACACTCCTCATCTCACTGCTGCTATGGTGTCTGTGAGAGTACACCCCTCTCTGCCCATTCATAGCTCCGCCGACGCACCACTCACGGATGGAGTCAGTAGCCAGCCAGCCAGCTCCCCCCTTCCCCCCTCACACACGCACATCCAAGACTACCACCAGGTGTGTCACTCAAAGCTCTGTGTGCTAATGTCTCCAGGCTGGCAGTGGGAAGCTGTGGGTGTGACAGACAGGTATTGTACACTGCACATCAATGCTGACGTCCACAGCTCTCATCATTACTTTAGGTTATTTCAATGACAATCACATTATACCAGATGATGATGCATGTAAGATGGCTTGACTGAGATACTTTCAAAACATGTACTCTGAAATATGCATAATGCTGACATCATTCATGTTGATGAGACCATCTATGACTCATCCAGATTGTTTTGTAACCCATACAATAGCCAAATACAACAGGAAGCCACCTTCCAGCAACAAGTCTGCAGACAGATTAAGCTGATCATTGGCCACAGAACCAACTTAAAGAGCCAATCATAGCATTGCAGTGCTGTGATTGGTTCTTTTTAAAAAATAAAATAAAAAAAAGGACATCATTATGTGACAGCATTTTCGAAGAGCTTTCCTTTAACCAAGATACACCAGAAGACTCAAGAATGAATAATGTAATCAATGCTAGTTACATGTGTAAAGACTTGCTTTACCCTGTATGAATCACACAGTTGGTCCACAGGGGTTGTGGGGTCTGACTGCACTGCATATAAAACCCAATCACGTAGCATTTCTCAAGCCAGAAACTGACCTCAGTGATTCATCCACCCCCCCCCCAAAAAAAAAAAGATGCAGACAGACAGGATAACAATTTCTTATAAAACACTTTAATTTTTTTCAATACACCCTGTGGATTATCGTTAGAATCATTGCAACCATTTCATTTTTATTATCACATTACTCATTTAATGAACTAGATCTGTAGTCTGAGATGTAGAGAACAGGAATACAGGACATGACCAGGGCTTTGCAAAGTGCAGTCACAGCAAACATAGGGATAATTTAAAAAAAAAAAAAAAAAAAAAAAAAAGGAAGAGAGAAAAAAAAAAAAATAAAAAAAAATAAAAAAAAAAGAAAACACAACACACCTGAAGCATGCAACACACAAATTTAAAAAGAATATATTAAATAATAAATCTGCATCAAATATTCCATGCATGTTGAAGCAAAGAAACCGTGCAAAAAACATTGAAACCCATTTTGGACAGTCACTCCTTCCTGTGCTTAGTTTAAAGAAAACATCACTGCAAAGTACGGCTGTGAAAAAACAGAAGAAATGTGAACGATATATCAAAATCTGTACAGTATTACAAATCAGGGGATGAATAAAATGTATACTAAAACATTTAAAGTTTCAGGGTGACATTCTGACCTATAACTTTTTCATATAAGGTTGAATTAATCATTTCATAGCAAACATTTTCCCCATAAGGATGTGTAGTGTTTTAGAACGACACCATAAATGCTTGCCATGATCTGCCTTATTTACAAATTGGCTTAAAAGAAGGTCATTCAAAAGTATAGAGCAGCATGTGGTAGCACACCGCTTTCTCAGAGCTTATATTGCGAACAATTAGAAAAAAAGTGCTATAGGACTAATTTTTTCTTGCATTAATTTTCTTAAATTAATCATATCACAGTTTTGTGAAATGTTCGTCGTAGTTTTTTGATCACATCTTCGTTCATCCAACACATGATTGTCTTTCAAACTGTTGTTTCCCTCATGTCTGGGGATTTCGATTTAGCAGAGTCGGGGGCTTCCTTCGCTGCTTCGGCTGAATTTTCAGCTGAATTCTTATCCTCAGATTTTGCTTTGGAGTCAGTAGTGGAAGAGCTGGCTATACTGGGATCCTCTGGTTCCTGCACCTGCTCTGTGGGCAGCTGGAGGAAGGAAGGAACCTCCAGCTGCTCTTTGGTGAGAAGACCTCGCTGATCATCCACCCTGGAGTTCTGAGCCCTCGTCAGCATGTCAAGGAACCCTGGCATGGACAAATCATTGTTATTGTTGCCCTCTTGTTCTGATAATCAGATAAATGTAATATAATCTGAATTTCCCAGAGGAACCCACCCAAGGGATTAATAAAGTTTCATCCAATCTAATTTGTAATCTAAATAGTTGATATATTGACAATAATCTTGATATTGAACAGAATTTCAATAATAATATAAAACATCTGAGAAAAAAGAAAAAAAGAAAAAAAAACCTCAATACCGTCACCTGCCAGTGGTGCTACCTACCCCGCCCAAGCCTCCTGGCAGAAGTACCCATTGCATTCCATTGGTCGAGGTCACCGATTCAAACTCATCCAAGACTTTTAGCGGATGCATCTATGGTATCACTTATAAAAAATTCTACAAGGCATTGTTTTCAAGATATCAGATACCCAAACCTGTGTCCATGCCACCCATCCAGCAAGTGACCACAATACCCCATCAGCCTTTTAAAGCTGAGGGGTAAAAAGCTAAAACGCATACGCCTCAAAATGCCCATCCTTTTTAGATGGGTTGGCTAATAAAGATAGTCATACAACTTCACGATGCAACAATCATGTATATTCTAATGAAGTATTACCTACATGCATATATTTTGGCATGCAGATAAAGACTGATATAACAAAATTATTTCCCCACATTGAAAACAACTCAGCTAATTCAATAACCTTAAACCAAACCACACTAGATATTGCCAAGTCATCCTACCGTCCATCTCGCGGTTCTTGGTAGACCTTGGCTGAGCCTTAGCTCTGTCTTGGCTCAGTGATCTGGCTTCTGGACCTGTACTTGCTGCTCCTCCCTGGGGCTAAAACAGATTTCAGCATCATCAACAAATCATTTCTCAGCTCACAAGGTTTAAATCTCAGTAACATTTAGTAAGTTTTCATTTCTAGTTTTAATCATTGAATCTGACGGCGTCTTGTGCAGCCATATACCATTTCCAGACTTAGTTTGAGATCGCTCCTCCTTGCAGTACAAACGAACCTCCTTTAGTGTGTCTCACTTCAACTTACATTTTATCTTGAAGAAAAGGTGTGTGGCTCACAGTCAGAGACCCAACTCTTATTACTAGGGATGCTCCTCAACATAAGGATTAGATCAGCTGGAGTTTGAGGTATATTTATGGCATATTTGAAGCATACAGGTGGCTAGAAAAAGACATCTAGGGAGCAATTTAAAATTGCAGCAGTGCCAAAAATAATTCAAAAGTGCACAAGACCAACACCTGAAGGGCAGAATGGCAAATAAAAAGACATGTTTTTTGTTTATTGAGACCTCAGCAGCATAGCGCATAGAGGTCACACACCCCTTCTAACTTTTGTACCCTTTAGAGTAGCTCAAGAGTGAGTGTGTAAAGAGCTTCATGGAGTGGTTCCCATGGCAAAGTAGCTGCATTCAACCCTTACATCAACAAGTGCAATTCAAACGCCAGAGTCTTAAAGCACGCTGCCACTGGACTAGAGAAGTGGAAACATGACAAATCGCACTTCTCCATCTGGCAATCTGTTGAACAAGTCTGGGTTTGCTGGTTGCCAGAGGAGTGGTAGTCTGACTGCATTGTACAGTCTGGGGGAGGGGGTTTTGGCATATTGCTTTACAGGACTTGGGCTCAGCCCCTTAGTTCCAGTAAAAGGAACTCTTTATGCTCCAGCATACCAAGACATTTTGGACTATTTCATGCTCCCAACTTTGTAGGAACAGTTTGGGGACGGCCCCTTCTTGTTCCAACATGACTTGCGCACCAGTACACAAATCAAGGTCTATAAAGACAGCGGTTGAGCGTGTTTGGTGTGGAAGAACTTGACTGGCCTGCACAGAGTCCTGACCTCAACCTGATAGAACACCTTTGGGATGAATTAGAGCAGAGACTGTGAGCCAGGCTTTCTCGTCCAATATTACCGTCTGACCTCACAAACGCGCTTCTGGAAGAATGATCAAAAATTCCAATAAACACACTCCTAAAACTTGTAGAAAGCCTTCCCAGAAGGAGTGCGCTGGATAAAAGTTATAAGAATAAATAAATCATTAAAGCAATATAGCCTGAAATGTCTCAGACTTTGCCTTCTGTATTGTTTTTGAACTGGTGAAACCTCATAATGAAAGGATAAAAATGTAGGCTAAGGCCTAAATCATTTTAGCTAACATATTCCTTATAGTCATTTAATTTTGTAAACATTTTGTGATACCAAGTTGGAAAACTATAAACGATCATTTCTGACAATATTCTTATTTTACCTTGAATACAAAGAGGTCCGTTAAAATTACCCAAAACCATCTGGTGATCAGGAGGTTTTAAGTCTTCTTTGCAGAGTACCAGCATGTATATGCTTACACTAGTCCATAAAATATTTGTACAGAAAGATTATATAGATTTGACATAATGTAGTTTGTGAATGAGGCCCATTTACACACTGCAACATACCACATTTCATAGATTTATATAATGCATGTTTATATAGATACTGTTAAAAGGGAAATGACTGGTCCCATAAAATAGACAAAAAAGGGCAACATAGGGACTTGTCTAAGAAGGTAATGAAGGTTGTTTAACACTATTCATGTTCAGCCTTGGCTTCATACAAAAATTCTCATTTGAGTTGTTATTTTTCCAAAATAAGTTACCCAAAAGTCACAAAAGAATATTTAAGCCTAAGAATCACAAAGCAGCAATTCAAAGTTTCTTCATGATGGTAAAATTATTTTTGTTGCCGTTTTATTGACGCTTCAATAAACACTGCCTCACCTGGTTGGCTGCAGAACTGCCGCCTCTGGAAATGCTGGTCTGCTCTTTGCCTGTATACACACAAAGATGGAAATGAGTTTCTAACAGAACTCTTATTTTCAGTGTACAAGTAGTCAACAAAAAGCTGACGATGCTACAGAACTTTAGCATACCCATTACGTTAAACACTGACATTAGGCAGATAAAACATCTTAAGTATTAAAATGGTCCTCCTGGGATACAACCACTCTAATTGAATCTACTTAGTTCCTCCTGAACAAAATAAAAAGAATCTGAGGCCGAGAGCACTGATCCAAACTGAAGTCAGATCTAGCCTCAGCAGTCAGGAAAAGAGGTGAGTGAACTGAAAGTGGCACAGCATTCAACAAACCAAATGGACTCAGACATTTTAACTTCAATTTAAAAGAAAAAAAAAAAACCGCCAAAAAAAAAAAGCAAAAAAAAGAAAACAAAAGAAAAAAAAAAAAAAGCAAAAAAGGAAGCAAAAAAAAACATGACCGCAAAATGGACAGTGAAAAGACTCTTCAGACAGCCTCAAGGGAGAGAGCACCACGAGCTGAAAAACACTTTGTACGAGCCATTAAGAAACGATTAAATCAATAAGGAGCCACAGACAGCACAAGAGAACACACAATAATGGCCAATGTATCGCCAACATAATCAGCTGATGGAGAGATGAAATGTGCTGTTATCTGATTTCACTGAAGACTGTTTTCATTTACTTATCAGCTAAGTAGGTTTGTTTTCATCCTGTGGCTTATTGTGCTCCTCTGGTAGCTGCATGCTGTATTACAATAAATGTTATAAACATTAATCAGCCTGTTTCACATTGAGGTAAATTTATGGGTTTCTAAAAAGGTCAAGTATATTAACCTTTGATTTTGTCAAGTCGGAGCGTCTTATTGGCCAGACTAAACACATTGGTGCTCACATTCAGAGGCTCATCACTTCCAACCTGAAACACAAAGCATACACACATGCAGACATACTTAGCTGAACAGTACTATGAGAATCAATCATCTCTGCAGTAAATGGGTTGTGCATAACTTAGAAAAGACAATGCATTACTAAAATAATCTCATTACTCACTACAAACTAGTGTAACGTTTATTAAAAGTAGAACCAGCATCTTAAGGACACACAGAAGCTGCTTACATTAGTTTCAAAATGATATCTTAATAATCTGAACCATGCATTATTCTTAAAATGAGTAATTTTACTAAAGCAATTTCATTAAAACAATAAGCTAAACTTGTGTCTGTGAAAGTTGACAAATAAAGAAGATGACTCATTAAAATGTAGCAGCTTTGCAAACAGAGGCCTTCTTTCCTGTAATAAGAAATGAAAGAAACCGTGGCTGGAAAATGTTTTCTGTGCAGCTGGCTTCCCATTACTGAGAAAGATAAAGGTTTTAAGTAAAGCAAGTTTTTAAAAAATGTAATGTGAAACTTTGAAACGTGAGAAACATTCAAGTGTGTGACTCATTTCAATGCAGCTACAATGACAATGCCAACAAGGGTGTGCCATTCATTTAGTGACAGATTTTGAAATCCATCCTTAAAAGTGACGCTCATTTCCAGCTTTTTTGCTCTACTGAGTATCTTTGCAAGACCTATAGTTCAAAATAATCCTAGACTATACATGGCTGAAAAATATGTAAAAATAGATATTGATATTATAATATTGAAAAGAATCACTGGTGTAACACTTTGAAATTACATGTTTACATAGGTAAATATGCACATTGATTTTTCCTAATAGATTAAAGGTTAAAAGGCATTTCACATATTTTTGTCAGTAGAATTCAACCACAGAAAATCAATCATTCATTTAAAAGTGACAATATTGATAATATTTATATGGAAATGACTCAAAGAAAAGGTAACATATTATAATCCTACTCATATGCAACACTCACCATGGTGACCAAGGCCTCTTGTGGCTTAATATTGTGCTTCTGCAGCACCACAGAGAGAGCTTCCTGCAGTGTCTTACTAGACTTCACCATGATCCCCACAGTTTTACCAGTGAAGGCAATCTCCACCCTGAAACACACACTTATTTCTATAACTTTCCTCTCACACTGTGACTCACACTGAATCAAATGCAATGGAACAGAAATACAGAATTACTGTCAGACAATGTCTGTAGTCACGAGGGCAGCTGGCAAGGGATATCTTAGCAGGAAACCCATTTCTGATTACATTTTGAATTTTATTTAGTCAATGTAAAGGAAGAGTACAAAGATTAATGCTCAGAGGGCTAGACTTTGTGTGCATATTAACACAAGGACTTCCCTCTAATATGGTAAGAAAGGACATGTAGTGGGGGTGTGCAAGCCTGCTATGGTGTCAAAGACAGGAGAAAATAGGAAGTGAAGGAAGTCATTCAGTTGACTCACGCAAACGTCACTCTGAGCTCTAAAGAGACCTGCTGATTTCTCAGTACGGAGCAGTCTTGGTCCAGCGATAATGGTTGCTGCAGAGAGAGAAATTATGTTTCAAACAGAAAGAAACAAGAGGGATTTCTATAGATGTGAACATCAACATGGGTTACTTTGAGGGGGTGAGATAACACAGCACGAAAATGTCAGAACAGGAAGGAGGCAGTCGTCAGTCATGCTCACTGTTGTAAACAACTTTACAGTGTGGCTCAAGTTCCTCAAAAATGCCTCCTGATTTAAAGTTGCAGCTGAAGCACAGCAAAAGTGCTCACCTTGTCCTTGCCATGAAGGTAAATGATAACATCTTTCAGTGGGAAGCCTCTTTTCTCACAAAGGCTAGTCAGCAAGTCTTTGATTGGCTGGCCATTAGGCGTGGGTGCCAAGGAGGCACTGCCATCAGGCAAGTAGACACAGCAGTATCCCCCCTCCAACCCTACACGACTCCCACCTCCACCCCCCAGCTCAGGGGAGCGGGGACTCGAGCGACCATTCTACATCACAGACAGAGAAATGAGAAAAGTGTAATCCCAATCACACATTTTCCTCTATACTAATACTTGTCACCTCAAATATTAGTTTTGTTAACTGTATACCTCCAATCATATAAATTGTAAATTAACATTCATTTCCCATAATTCCAACCAACTCTAAATGCTTTATAAATGTACTGACCTCCATATGCCTGCAGATGGAGCCAAGCTCCACACTACTGGTCGACTTGATGGACAAATGGGACTCTTTCCAGGAAACCACGCCATAGGAGTTGGAATCATTGTTATTGATGAGATTTAAAAATAAATAAATAAAGTCAGAAGATGTACATAAGATATCACAGAAGCATGAGATGTGTCATTTGGCACACATTACCTCCCCAGGATCCTCGTTTCTGTCGCTGTTTCTCTGAGGCACTCTTACCACCTAGAAAGCTGTTAGGGTCTGACTTCTTGCCCTGTTGGAGGCAGCGATGAAATAAATGTCAAACGAATAATAAAACAAGTATTCTTCATCTCGACCTTCAGTCCATCTACCGTATTTTTCGGACCATAAGGAACACCGGATTATAAGGTGCACTGTCAATGAATGGGTCTGTTTTCATACATAAGGCACACTGGATTATAAGGCGCATTAAGCGAAACAAAACAGTCCGATAAGTCAAACTTTACTCAACTCATCCTTCTTGATCCTCCACTTCCGTACCATTGATTCATTAATGTTGAATTCTCTTGCAGCTCCTCTAACCCCATGTTGTTGCAGTATACTAATGACTAACCTCGTATTGTGGATGGATTATCTGAGTTGTTCTCCTGACTGAAGTTTGGTCCGTTTACAGCAGGGGTGCCCAATCCCGGTCCTCGAGAGCTACCGTCCTGCAGCTTTTAGATGCATCCTTGTTCCCACACACCCGAATCAAATGAATGGCTTGTTATCAGGCCTTTGCCAAACACGATGGCATGCTGAAGAGGTAATCAAACCATTTGATTCAGCTGTGTTGGAGTAGGGATGCATCTAAAAGCTGCAGAAAAGAACCCCCCAAGAACGGAATTGGGCAGCCCTGGTTTACAGCATCCTGCCATGCGATTGCATTTGTCCCCAACCACCGAGAACCCTCACATTAACTTTTATCAAGTGGAAAACAGTTAGCGTTCATCCTCCAGCTTCACTGTGTTTATGTTATGCTAACATAGCTGTGTCGCTAGCGATCATGTAGCACAGCATTATATACCAGCTAGCCCAACTTCAGCAACCCTATAAAAGTCACTGCTGTTTAGTTTTGTGTTTTCATTTATGTTAGAAGTGATAGCAGAGCTGTACATTTTATTTTTTCAGGAATCTCTCAGTTAGAACATGCTATATCATGTTTAGGTGGAAACTAGCAAGCTAACTTCCTGCTAACTTCAGTTCGGTAAATTCGGTTCTAGGTCAGTAAACACAACCAGAATTCATACATAAGGCACACCATGATTATAAGGCACACTGTCAATTTTTGAGAAAATTAAAGGATTTTAGGTGCGCCTTATAGTGTGGAAAATACGGTACCTTCTTTTCCCTTAAGGGGACTTTGGAGGCCATATCCTCCCAGGATCCCATGCGCGGAGACTCATTGGAGAGCCGAGGTAGGCCTTTGCCTTCTACTGTTGCCAAAGTGCAGCTCTGATAAAGAGGGGACCGTACAAAGCGCCTGTAGCTGTCCATTTTCATCAGCTTAAATATCTGAAGCAAAGCAACAAGAGGGGGCACCCAGTCATCTGTGTGTCAAAAATGAGTCATAATTACTAAGCAGAAGTAGTAGGGTTGATTCATACCAACCTGCGCTTGAGCTTTGTTAAACATGTCAGGTGTAGGCTGCTGAAGGTCCTTCTCCTCCGTCTTTGCTGTGTCATCAATGTTCACCGAGTAGGGAGCACTCTCAGACAGGTAGGTGCTGTAGATTGAGCGAGCTTCTGCTTTCAGCTGGAAAAAACAGCAAGAGCTCTGTCAGATTGAACTATTCTGAAGGTCAGCAATCAGCTAAACTTTGTTTCTTAATTACAGTTCATGAAGTGCTGAGGCACAAGTAAGATCAGACACTCTGTTAATTTCCCTGTGGATTTCATTTGAATGTACACCTTCTTAAATCCTCTAGTAAGTCACTTATTGTTTGCAAAGCTCCCAAATTACATGGTGGCATTACTTTAAGCATTAAGCACACTCTATGTAGCATAAATTAAAGGAAACCTTTCTGTGGTTCTCTGATGTAAATCATACAGATTTCTAAAGGATAAGGTAAACCTTTCACCTACATAATTATGGCTGATGTATGATCTATTTGGATCCTTTCAATACTTTTTTTTTTATTTCCTCAGTCAATCTCCAATGGAAATAATCTCCACAGGAAGTGAAAGAAAGATTCAGGTCAGCCACAGTCAAATGGTAAAAGTTAGTTTACTTGTGTAACACAATACTATATCCCACTGAATACTCTAAATTATGAGCTACTGTGGATATTAACACATTGGTCCTGGTGATGGGGTTTACACAGGTTTTCATTGTAACCACTAAATATGAACTGTTATAGAGGAATACAAATGTCCTCCAAATTATGATGCATTTGCATTACATAACTTTGCTTTCCAATATATTTGCCAAAAGAAGCTTATAGAGCAAACTGCAACAGCTGGTAACTGTAACAACCATTCTGTAAAATGGAAAATTAAGTAGTTCCCACAAAACCTGTTCTTCATTTTTAATAACTGAATACTTACAATTTCTGCACATTGTTTCACAAGGTAAATCTCCAAAAACAGCCATAAAAATTATCATATAGCAGATCTATTTTTTGCCAACAATGCACAGCTTCTGGCTGTTTGACTGTGGTTGATGCAATTAAAAGTTAGTGTCAGCAGTTAAAGTGCACCAAATGACTTATTGGAGGGATCATCTCAAAATTACAACAGAAAAATGCTTATGTTACTTGAAAAGCAACTAAAATATTACTGAATTACTGACGCACTGCCATCCTCCAATTGCTGGAGACACCCATAGTTACAGCAACAAGGCAACCCTATTCCCACTAAACAGTCCACTTCTTTTCTACAAAACATGTGTTTTAACAAATGTGTGCTATCAGGGTAGTGGTTTACAAATATTTTTCCTGCCATATCCCACTTCAGAAGGCAGGAAAATTCACACTCCACACCCATCAAATATGATCCAAGTTGAAGGCCATCACAACTTCATGATCAAACTCTTGTTAATTTTCCCTTTAAGAATCATATTTACTTCACTCCATACTTTACATCTGGTCCTGCAGTAGTTCTGTCTCCCATAGTACAAGAACTACTGCAATAAAGTATTAATTAAAGATAAATACATAAAAGAAAAGTTTAGAGAGAGTTTGTACCTCATCCAAGGAAGTGGCCGGAATCTTCTTGAACTTTTCACAAGCCTGCCAGAATAAAATGTTCTCCGCACTCACCTCAGACTTTAAGAAGTCCTGCAGACAAACACACACACAGCATTATTAGGTATGGGTAGTGATTAGTTAATGTCAACACTTGAACTCTGCCTGAACTTTTTCCTAACTGAAAATTTTCAACATTAGTTTGCCTCACCGTAAAGTAACGGACCCCAAAAGGGTCCTCCAGCAGTTTCTCAAATGACACGGCCCAGCTCATGACACTGTTGGCTGGGCCATGCTCTCCGGCTGGAGTCCCAGGAAGGCTGGTGCTGCTGCCGCCACAGCCGCGTGCGGACATGTTCAAATCTAAAGCATATCCAGGCACAAACACACCCATTTATCAGCACAGAAAAGCATGACCAAGAGTGAGACTGAATCAGATATTTTCATGCACAGACATGTTCACGTTGTAGAACTGAGATATGTACAGGATTAGCAGCATGCAAGTTGGCTGCTCATGCTTACCTCCATCTGACACTGCCTGGCTCTGTGAACAGAGAGAGCAATCTGTCAAAGAACTTTACTTCAACAGTTAAAACTAAAACTGAGAAAAAGCCTAATACTGAATACTCTGTTATCGTCTGTATAATACTGATAATATTATTCAAATTTATCCTACGTATATTTTCTTCAGGCTGCACAGTCAAAAGGAAAGAAGAAAGTTTACTTTGGCCCCGTTTACACAGGATTGTGGAGATTCTCACTACAGCTCAATATTACTGCAACAACTATACAGCACTACGATAAAAGCCTTTAGGAAGGGAAACACGAACAGCAGCTGCACATTATTTTTCTCTTCTTGTTTTTTTTTTCCAACCTGTAACTCTGTAGCGCAATCAGCCAAGGCTGTTTTTACAGGAAGTGGTTGCAAAACTGGTGACAATAAGCCTCATTCAGCTTTCAGAGCACACAAAATGCACATCTTGTAAATGTTCGCTTCAACCGACACATTTTTTTTTTACAGAAACTGAATGAAATCTGCAGACTATTTAAACACCTGTAACCTACAAGCTGTGATCACAAACATGTTTTCAAGTCACCAAGATACTGATCTGACGTATACACAGAAAAGCTTCAGCTTATGGAAATATTGTTTAAACAGCAGCAAATTAGCTCACAGCAGAATTTTTGGTTTTAATCCATAGGAGACCGTCGATGGATACATTTATGAGCTTTGTCAAGGTTTCCTCTTCATGCTCTGGTTTCCTCCCACAGTTCACAGACGTGTGGGCTCTGATTCTAAAATTGCCCAAAGGTGTGAATGTGTGTGTGTCTACATGTCTGTATAGTCTGTGTGGTAGCAACTTGCCCAGAGTGTGTGGAGGATATAGGTCTTATAAATAAAGTACCATTTTCATAACTGACAGCTGTGAGTGCCATTTTAATCAATGCAAGATTAAGCAACAGTACACGTTGTTTTTAACTGATAATACTAATGTAACGGAATCCTTTACATTACAGAAAAAGGCAAATATCTTCACAACCCTGCACAGTAACTGTTGCTTTTAAAGTAGAGCATTTAACTTTTTATGAATAGATTACTTTCATTTTCATTCTGTGTTTAATATTACCTTTGTGACCTGATCTGTACTTGATATTCTAGCTTTTTAAGTCATTGAGGCAAGCTTCTTAATTATTTGTTTATTTTGTTAATCAAGGCCATGTAAACATCAAGGTTTTGACAACATGGCCAGTTAATCTTGATTTCAGTTCAGAATTTTAGTCAAATGTTAAATCATGAAGTTACATTACTTATAATCTATATAACCAGATATAGATAACTAGATAAAGTTATCTGTCATCCTAAAACTAGCTCTGATTAGGAAGTCCTGCAAGGCACAATTTGCAAAGTAACCCAGCTACATTAGTGCAACACACACCAAACTGGCCATCTACATTGTATAGTTAAAGTGAAATTCAGATACATAACCAAGGCAACACAGGCTGAGGAAGAGGAGAAAATCATCCACTAATCAAAGGTCAGTTTGCTCAATTCCCAAAACAGAATCAATGGGTTTCGCTGTAGAGCTCCTCATGTGTCGATACAATAAAAAATTAGCATTTTATTTTTCCTAATACGTCACTGTATCCTTTTATGCTTGACATTTGCTACAAGCTTACATTTGAGATAAATCTATACATCTATATAGATATATCTATAAATCGACGCACTCTAAGCAGAGAGTGCGTTGTTGTAACCAAAAATAACTGATCTTGACAACAGCCCCTGTCTATTGTTACATTTTGACCATATACGGTTGAAATGGGCTGTCTATCTCTGCAGGTGTGAGTCTCTCTGACTCCACCTCTTCAGTTATTTGCTCTGCTATGCAAATACTGCTTTCATAGTCAATAGTACATTTTCTAAACACTAATGAAAACAATCGATTCGTCACTGTCTTAGCTGTAAACCTTGCATTCTCGTAAAATGCACTTTTAACTCTGAAAAATCTATTAAAGGAGCGATATCAAAATGCAGACATCAAACGCAAGCCACAGAAAGCCCCTTTTTTTAAGACTACGGCAACATCCTGCTCTTGTGACTTAATATCCGTTGATACATTTTCACACCTTTTTTTGGCAGAACTGAACTATTTCAAGAAATGCAATGGTCTCACACCGAGAACACTGAAGCCAACTCAGCCTACACATGACAGATTGGACAACAGGCATGGCTCAGTTTCTCCTTCTGGCTCAGAATGGCCCAGCCTGTTCTCAGTAGCAACCAAGTGTAGCCACACAGGCTGATTCTGGCACTATCAAAGACTGGAGGCAAAACACAAGCCAGCACGAGACAACTGCTCAAACCGTACTTTTGATACTCTGGATTGGAAGTCAGCTTAATAGTAACAGCACCGTTAAAAGCAGATCAAAACAGCATATAGGGAGATTTAGAGTGCCTGCACAGCTACAAGAAGCGTAGTCAACACACTCAACACTAAAATGCCTTGACTAGTCACTGTGGAAGGCCGGTCAAAGCCTCCTATCGTATACGTAACAAGCGTATCAAAGAACTACTACCCAAAGGACGGCCACAGAACCAAGTAAGACCTAACAAGAATGGTGCCAACTCACCATGTGGCCAATAGGGATCTCTAAAGAATTGCTGTTCTTCGCCATGATGGCCCAGACACCAGTTTCAGAGCTGAAGTCCTACGATGTGCACACTGTCAGGGGACACAGCAGAGTGCTCCACCCAAACTTGATGCACACTCCTTACACACTCACACACAAAACTCATCACTTGGGTCTTCCTGTCACTTCCTGCCTGGAAGGGAAGTCTTACCATAGCAACAAGCCACAAAAGAGGAAGTATGGTTACTATGATCAAACTGCTCTCAGCCTACATCTTGAGAAACACTGTGATGTGGGTACACAGGCAGCCAGACTGTCATTCTGCTTTTTTTTATGCGCAGTCAATGAAACGCTTGGTTATTTTGGCTTTCTATCTTTCTAAATAAACATGACAATTTTGCAGATTTAGTGTTAGACCTTAGTTTCAGAATCTGTCGGTTTTACTTTTAACTCATTGCGGCCTAAAGCACACACATTTCAAGTCTTACCCTTCAAACGGGCCTCGTGAAAGAAGCCTTTCTTTGCTATAAGCCCAATTTTGCTATAGGGTATCATTTAACACGTTTCTGGATCATCTGAAAGCAAAACTCGTTACATGGCTTTGCGCAGATTCAAACGAAATGATAAGAGATAAAAATCATCACAGTACCACTCTCTCGCTATTGCAAACAGATGACTCAAGATAACGCTCAGGCTAAAACTGCACAGTCACACATGCACCGAAAGCTCACACTGTATGTGGCATACCTTCTTGTTGTTGCCCAAGATGTTGCTGGCTATGGCGCACAGTTTGTTATATTTCCGTTGCTGCTTTTGGGCTGCAACTTTTGCCAGGCGAGAAAACCTGTTATACACTCCGCTTAAAGTAACCATGGTTCACGATACTAGAAAATACAGAACAGAACACAGTGTAGACAATATTAGCCAGGCGCTACCGTGACTGTATAAATGTTTTCTACAGCCAATTGGGTGCTACTTAACAACTAATTAAGCCCTGACATGCTCACAAGCAGCCCTGGACAATCAGCGGCCCTCTACCCCGGGATAGTTTTTTGGCAGCTTGGAATTTGTTTTACTTAGCTATGATATCACATTAGCCATACTAATTGATAGTACTTAGCTATACTAATTATTAGTACTTAGTAGCTAATAGTACATTTGAGTTGTAATGTTTTAGTAGTGCTGTTAAATTAACACATTGAATGCTACAATAACGTGAAAAAAAACTATTCACTTAAGTGTTTTGCAAAACTCATGAGAGTGGTTTATCGAAAAACAACTCAACATGTTAGCATATATGCTATATAATAAAAGAGACAATATTGATACCAAAAAAAAAAACATGCTACACTAACTAGCACGAAAATTTCATGCATATTTCATGCATTTGGCACCTCCTGGTCCCACAAGGCATTTTTGTGAAACGCTACAGGATGTCGTAGGCCGTCAGTGTATGAATCATTAGGCAGCCAGTGATAGATAGATAGATAGATAGATAGATAGATAATTTTCCCGAAGTACCATGTTAATGTTGAGGATTATACAGTAGCTTGATCACGTTAAGCATGTTAAGTGAATGTGTAGTATATAAAAAGCAAAGGATCAACTTCAGTAGAGATGTATTAAGTGAAACTGATTGGTGGAAGAATTAAAACTGAAAGGAAACGTACACATTTCTAAAGCCAAGTGGTCTCACTATGCAATTTATAAGCAGAGGAAACAAAGGTTAGTTTGTAACGCTTCCTGAATTTACACTCAAAAACAGAAAGTTATGACTTTAACTAGAGCTGCTTAAGTGCTTTAATGAGCACAGATTGCAGGCTGATATTTGCCTCAAAAACAGTTGTAAATTCATTTAAAACTATTTCCAAAGCTGTTTGATTTGAAAGGTTGTTGAGGTCCATGTAGAATGGACTCACTTTGCACAAATAGCAGCCTGAGCACATCTGGGAAAATACCAGTTTGCTCACATTCTCCTACGTCGCTTCCTTTTAACAAGTCAGTTTTCTCTTTAATCACTTGGTACAAGGCCAAGAAAATTAGAGTGTGGCTTAATCCGTTTCATTGTTATTTCTTATCAGCAACTATAAAGAGCTTGACGGCAAATGGAATAGCAAAATTGCAGCCTTGTGTCATCATTCCGTGAACTATTGTTTTCTGTTGTTGTGTTTGATGAGTTTAGGTATCTATCGAGACTGGCCACAGTAAGGGAATTTTTTGATTAACGTTAAGCTGACCAAACAAATTGAATGTAAACAGCAACGGGCCACATTACTCAACCATATTCATCTTATTTACCATCTGGTCACTTTGGTTAAGGTGGCCCAGAGAGAATTTGAATGCAAAGCCAGTCATTCTATTTCTGTGTGGAGTTTGCATGTCCAGCGTGTGTGTGTTTGTATGCATGCATTTTCCAAAACAGAGGTTTTATTCAATTCAGTCTCTGAATGTGCTGTAAAGCATTTAGCTTTAGCAGTGTGTAACATGTTTTGGCAATGGTAGACCATTTAGCTGCACGGGAGCCCTTCAGAAAAAAATGAATACGATTTTGTGATGAGCAGCACTCTCTAGTGGCCACTGTTTGAATAAGTCACTGTTTAAAGTAATGCATGATTTCAGTAAAAGGCAGTGATGTATTTTTGAGGTGCCTTTTAAACTCAATCATTTTGGATTTATTCTTCCAAATTCTTAGAAAAGTTCATCTTAGTATGTGACATAATAAACTGTGTGCACAGAGGCAGAGGGTAGTTTGCCTAAGTAAACCAATGTTTCCCTGATAACAGGCTATATTAGAGCACAGCTCCATCTCTCAGTATGTGTCCTTATGTTTTGGGTGTTTTGATCAGAGCTGAAGAAATCTCATCATTTTGACCTAAACGTCACTCAATGTTACATGAAAGCAGCAGCGGCAGCTTTACCGTCATCGTTGTCGTCACATCCACCTTCACAACAAACAGCTGCTTTGTTCATGCTATAATATTCCAGGGATGAATATATTTGCATTGCTATCAGTGTTTAGAATCAGTTTTGCCGTGCCTCTTCTGATGCAAAGACTATTCAGTTAAGCAAAGCAGAGCGGGTCATCACTCTGGTCTGTGTGTCAGAGGCAATCCAGGTAAGAGCATTACGTATTATATGTATAACTTTAAAAATATATTTAATGCTTTGTCTAAAAGTTTTAAAGTATTTCATTGCTATGAAACTTGTTCTTCCTATTTTTCTATATGCTCTTTTTTTTTAGATATTAATGACATTAATTTCTCAGACTGTTCTTAACGGTTGTGAATCCAGTCTGTTCTAGTAGAGAATGATTATCATTTATCTCATGCTTGGTTATCTCCTCTCTGGTAAGCACTCACCTACATTTATATGTCTATATTTTCTTGTTCTCTGTTTGTATATGTGCCAGTTTAGCTCTAAATAATTCGCTCTATATTCTGATATTGTAGCTGGTACTGACTGCCTGTGTTACTGTTGAGTTTTTGAAATGTACCATCACAGGGTAAACTATGGCAGATGGGGGAAAAGGAAAATTGTACATCTGGAAATGTCATGTCGCAGCTAATGTGCCTGAACATTGCCTGCCAATAAAATGCAAAATGAGATGCATTGGAAAAATGTTCCTGACGTTATTTTTTTTCATCTGTTTTTCTCATAGATACTTATGCGAAATGTGAAAACAGCACTTTGTGTAATGGTTAGTCCTCACTTTGTTTTTATTTGTTTTGTTTGTTTGTTTTTTATAAATCCTGTGAACTTGAATAGACTGCAACTGGTAGAGAGGTGTGATAACAGCCTAAGGTTGTGTCTGACACTAAAATGAAATATAAATTAAATATTGATAAGCTTTTTTTTTTTCTTTGATAATTGTGTATCTCTAAAATTAAATCTTTAAGAGTAAAGAAAGTCGACCAGATTACGTTTAAATTTCATTTTTTTAATAATGCTGAATGTGACAGTGTTCATTCTTCTTCATTTTTTTTCTCTTTAGGAGCAACATTTAAACAATGCACTGAATGTAACATTTGAGAATACCTTTGTCTGAAGCAATGGATTATAACAGAGCACACTCTAATTACCTAATATTATTTATTGTTGCTTTCCTCGCTTTTCATGTTTACTCTGCCCATCAGATGAAGTGTTCATCAGCAGCGAGCCATCCAGCCCAAATGAGGGTGACGACGTCACTCTCACATGCAATGAAAAATGTGGAAATTCAACTGTGACATTTCAGTGGAAGAAAAATAAGGTGGTCGAACAAAAAGAAAATAATAAGACCTTTCTTATCCAAAGTGCCCTTTCAATTTCTGACATATACATCTGCTCAGTAAACTGCTCCCGTTACTGTTGTGATTCTAAACCATACACACTGTCTGTAAAAAGTAAGTCCATCCATCTGTATACTTCTGTTATATGTTATGATTTTAGAAATGTGTATAATGGCATGCTATCAACAGCCCTTGATACCATGTGTCTTCACTTCCTGTGTATTTGTCTATGTGTGTGTCATTGTCCAGACAACACTGTGATCATCTTGGTGGTCTGTGGTGTTGCAGCTTTGGCCCTTGTTTTGATTATGGGACTGATTATGAAGTGTAAGCTGAAAAGAGACAGTGGTAAGAGCTCATTTTAAGATGTCTGTGGTATTAGACAACAATAAGAAAGAAAGAAAGAAAGAAAGAAAGAAAGAAAGAAAGAAAGAAAGAAAGAAAGAAAGAAAGAAGTTTTTCTAGTTTTAACTAACTTAACTATCATGAAATGACTATCAATAAAATACAACAAATTTTGATGCTTATTATGAATGTCTGGGTGAAAACAGGCTGTTTTTGCCACATTACAAGTAATTGTGCGAGGCTAAGCTAACAGGCTGGTGCCTTCAGTTACAACTTTGAACAATATTGTTGAAGATCTTGAATCTATCTACACATCAGAACTCAGAATGACACATCTGACTGATTTGAATGCTCTCTCTCTGCAGATAAACACAGGGAGAGGGTGAGACAGAGACAGGCTGGACAGGCTGCTGGTGGGCCATATCCTGTCACACCCAGAGAGTCCTAAAAAGAAAACATTCTATCATATTTTAATATAATAAATTCTGATCTTATGCAACATAATATATATTTATCTTTTTGATATTTCAGACTTTTGAATGCTCACAAATTGAATAAATACTCTTTAATCTCTGTTTTTGAGTGCATGTGTGCATGTTTAATCAGTTAAAGTCACACTTTTCCACAATGTAGCGTTGCATTTCTGTTAGTTTGCTCAGTTTAAAAAAAAAGAACCTAGAAATGTTTTAATCCACACACAGGATTGGCATGCTCGCACTAATCCTGCTGAATGCTCCACTCACAGTGGCGCACACTGCTCAGCTTTACAGTGGCTTGCATGTAATGGATATATGGGAGTGTAATGCTGTCTACTCCTATACATGAGAGGGATGAATGTGGGATTTGAAGATTGACTTATGAACATAGTAATAGCGTTAGGTGCCTCGATTCAATGTCAGGATGCAATGATTTGAAGTTTAAGTGTTAAGCTCGGTCTTCATGCTGCCAGAGTGCCTGGCATTAGCAGTGTTTTGGGGGGGTTCCCCTCCCGGCCATATGGCAAAAACTTATTTATCCGCATGTATGAGTGGGTCAGGAAGGACTGTTTATTCAGTTTCCTTCTATAACAGGTGGCTAAGGGATAATCCAGGTAAAGCCACTGCAAAGTGGAGACAGAGGGATGGACAGAGGAAGGGGGAGGAGGGGGATGGGGTTGCCTTTGCATGGATGCCTAGGGCTAATTCTGGCCTCTTAATCCCAGTCCCATACGCCCTGCCTCTCTTCCTTCTTGTAACTCTACAGTTACATTGAGGAGCAGTTCATGTCCAGGTAGACATTACTATCACATAAACGCATCACGTAACCCACCCAGG